GAGTAAAGAGACTAGTCGATTCGGTGAATGTAAACGCGAAGGATATGGCTGGTCGAAAATCAACACCGCTTCACTTCGCTGCGGGTAACGATGAGCTGAGCTAATGACACAGCGGCGCTATGTTGTGAAACATCAGCTAACTAACATACTGTCAGATAACAGCTACGTTAGTGTATAGCTATGAGTTATGACCGTGACATAGTGCTAGTGCTAGCTAGCTGATGTGTTTGCTGCTAACCTGGTTTTCTGTTGTGTGCCTCTGTGTAAATACGCTTTATGACGTCTGAATTAACTTAATAGCATGGTAGTGCTAACCAGCTAATTTGACGGTCTCCAGTATGATTATTGAACACGCATACCGTTGTCTGTCTCCATTCCTCAAGCCAAAACTCTCGTATACCTTCACGTATATTAGGAAGAACTGCAATGTATCGCAAATCTACGTTATGTGTGTCGTTTTCAGCTAGCGTTAGCATAAGACCTGAGCAAAATAAATGCAGCAACTTAACTCTGCTGTCATGTAAACTTGCGCCACAACTGATGTTGCAGTGTATCAATAAACATTGCATCTCATAATTTAACAAACAATAATAATTTTGTTGTGAAGTTATGATTATTCCGAAGACATTTTAGATGTTATAACCGGGATAGGTATAGTGTATGTGCACCGCTCCTAACTCAATATTGCGGAAAAGCTGAATTTAAAGGCACTTTAATCCTCTTTCAGGTTTTGGCAGAAAAGATGTGGTGGAGCACCTCTTGCAGACTGGGGCCAATGTTCATGCCAGGGATGATGGAGGACTTATACCCCTGCATAATGCCTGTTCTTTCGGCCATGCAGAAGTTGTCAGTCTCCTGTTGTGTCAGGGCGCAGACCCCAACGCCAGAGATAACTGGAACTACACTCCATTACATGAGGCTGCCATCAAGGGAAAGATTGATGTGTGCATTGGTAAGGTTCATGCTCCACACATTGTTCAGCCAATCTGTGAGATTGATCCAGTCTTACCTGTCATTAGTTGCAACTCATCTTAGGTTCTTGGAAAGCTTGACAACTGGCTATAGAAGTCTGATTTTGAGACGGAGGTTTTTAAGTATTGAAATATTACAGTGACATAATAGGAATTTAATTAAACAACATGTAGGCTTTTTTTCCCCCGCCATTGTCAGGTTTATCTTGTTTACAGCCTTTATGTAACCAACAAGTGTGATCAGTGTGCTGGGTGACACAGAAGAGGAATGTGACTGATCTGAGCTTAAAATTAAAGTATTCTTTTTATCTGCACCTCTCTCACAGTGTTACTCCAACATGGAGCTGATCCAAATATTCGCAATACTGATGGCAAATCAGCTCTGGATCTAGCTGACCCTTCAGCCAAGGCTGTTCTCACTGGTCAGTTCCTCTTGTCTCTCACATTTTCATTTCAGACATTTAACCCATACTTTTCCAGAATATGATACAGGACTTAAAGGTAGGATTGGTGATCCTGGAAAAACCAGTAAGAGGAAGCTAAATTTTGAAAGTAGCCAACCAAAGAAATCCCACCCTTTCATTCCAACTTCTCTCCAAAGACGCTCCTCCAAAACATGACGTACACTGCAGCCTGCTCTGCCTGACTGTTTATAGCTTTCAGTAAAATGGCAAATGTCTCCCAAACAAAACAAAACTGATAATTACCTGTCCAGCAGAAATACGGCGATCATGGCGTCACTTTTAGACTTTTGTTCTCTCATTTGTTACCATTGTTCAAAATCCACATCAATGTTAATTCTGGTTTTACTTCTTGCAGCATCCAGCTTCGTTTTAGTTGTAATTTTCTTGATTACAATCTCTGTTTGCGACCGAAAGCTGCTGTGGCTTGCACACTGAGTGTTGAGGTTGACAGGCAGGTAGACCACCCAGTGGCTTTGCTTGGGTCAGGTAAAATTACTGGTCAGATGATGGGTTCTTTTCTTTATGTTGTTGGGTTGTTGTATTTATGTTGTTAGTGCATTTAATGTTTTAATTGCCATCAGGATGAAAAGAGAAATTCAAAGATATGTAACAAAAAATGTTTCTGAAAGGAATTCCCAACCCTCCCTTTAATTAAGCTTCATTTTGCAGATAAATACCGTTAAATGTAACCAGTGGTGAGAATTTAATTTTCAAATTGCATTCATCACTTTGCATCTTCTTTTTATTGGTACCTCAGCATTGACACCTGAACTAAGTGTAAAAACTATGTAGTTAATCTAGTTGTGGTAGTGTCTGACATGAGACAATAGGCCTTTGTCATAATGTCGTCGTCTAATTCCTGGGCTGGGGGTACCAGCGTTTCCGGTTTAGTGCTGCAACGGGGCGCAGGGATTTAAGGGCAGCATTCAAAAGAATAATATATGGATATTTACGACATTTAAAATCATGTTTGATCACCATAATACTAGCTTTATTTTTTGTTACCCCCTCACATCATTGGAGCTCTGTCCTTGCTAGCAAGTATCAACAGCTACTGGGCATAGAAGCTGGGGAGAGGTCATGTCTGTTCAAAATATTAGCCTGTAACCTACAGCAATATGTGTTAAAACCCAAGCAGCCCTTTAAAATAAACAGTATACTGTGAGGGGGTGGGGGGGACTTGATGATATGATCATCTTCTCCTGAAACAATCCAGCTAGGTCCGTAGGCATAACCACAAGAATGTCATCTGTTTGCTGCTCGCAGGCTTAAATCATCTTCAATCTTCATGTTCATCTTACAAACACATTAACTTACATTATTTACTCTACTATAATCTATAAAATATGTTAACAGGAAAGAACGCTAGTGGACACTGTCTGACGTCATGTGAAAAGGGTCTATTGCCACAAAGTGTATCCATTTATCAAACCTTTATTGGCAGTAATAGCTTACATACCACAGTAACATCACATACTAACATGTTGAAAGTGTTTGGCATGCCCAGCTCTAATCTAAATGTTTATTTTCCATCCAGGTGAATATAAGAAGGATGAGCTTCTGGAAGCAGCAAGGTGAGTCAGTCTGACCGGTCGTTGTGCACACAACTGCACTGTTATCTGCTCAGCGGGTTTTCATTTGACTTGGCTGTAAGAGTGGACGCTGTTATTCGTGTTTATGGCTGCAACATGCAATGATTATGTGTAGTGAGATGCAGAATGATGGTGTCCCACATGTTTATGATCACAGTTATAAACTATACTGGGTGAGTTACAACAGTTAAAAACACATGAATGTAGCAAAAAGTACCTGTGAATGACAGATGTATTATGGGGTTGAGTTTCACCATTGAAATGTAAT